CTGTACGGGAGAGGGGCGATTAGGTTTTTGGGGAGCGCACTCGCGCGACTGCTGGCAGCGACGACTTCGCGAACGATGACTTCTTCCCCGACCTTGGCAACCTCATCCTCGACGACATGGGCGACAACGTCAACGCCGGCGGTGCTGCACCCGCTGCACCGTATGTGATTCTATCCTTCCTGTTCAAGATCGTGGTAGAATTCATGTTTCTAGTATGTGCCCTAGATGTGATATATTCATCTGCTATGCTAGTTCGCATGATTAGTTTAATCTCTGCTGTTGTGGTCATGATTTATCTTCTATTTATTCGGATTAAATCTCGTAGTAGTTCTTATATTTCCAACAGATTCAAGGTTGAAAGAAGAGGAAAATAAAAGAAGATGGAGTCCTTGTGTGCGACTCAAAGGTTGTCTTGCTCTAGCTTGTGAGTTAAGTCATGGAGGATCAAGATCCCGAGAAGATGATTACAAGAGAAGAGTTTAAGTGAAGAATTCATTATATATATCAAAACATTGTGATATGATGTACGTACACGTCTATGGGTAAAGATGGTGTTGTACGCGGCCATGCGACCGCCGTAGCCTCTTTATGTGCCCACCGCTCCTTGCCAAACTACTTCTCCGCGTTGATGCCATGCCGTATTGCTCCATGTAGCTTGCGGCCCCGCTGCATCTCTATCGTCATCAATGCCATGCTCATGAACCATTTTTGCAGCATCCCCTTGATGAGCCGTTGTTGTTAACCATTGGGCGATGTTGCGCGTACGCCATGTCGCCTTGGCTATTCAGGTTCGGCATGGTGTCTTGTACCTGCGTGCATGGTTAGTCTTCGAGTGAGTGGATCACATGTGTGACGTCTATGGCGTAGCATTGTCGTTGCCCGATGGTCTCCGGCTGCTGCTTATGCTTCTTTGGCTCATGTGTGTGGACATGGCTGCTTTCTTATATTGAGTGATTTTCTTAACGCACATAGGAAACATAAAATTAACAAGTCAGATAATTAATACAGCCCTAGCGGTGCGGCAAAGCGCGCGACCGCTTCTAATACCTTATTAAAAGTGAAAGCACATCTCAAATATCCCGAGTGCCACATCTTGCTCCCGCTCACCCGCTGTCAAATCAGGGAAGATTCATGCGCAGGACGTATCCGCCTGACTAGCCTGCCCATGCATGTCAACCGGTTAATATTTTCTTAGAAACACCGTGAATATTTTTTATACACGGGACAATTTCTAGATACATGGCAAACAGTTCTTAAATGCTACTAGATGATAAACAATTTTGAGAAAATGATGAAATAAAGGAAAACACTATGAGCATTTGACAATGAAAAAAAAGAACGGACACAAAGAAAAAAGAAAAAAAAACACACAAAAAAAGAACTCCAGCCGACTTGAGGGCTTTCGTTTTGGGCCAACTCCAGCCGACAGAAGAAAACACTTGATTGGACTGCGGCCCATGAGTGAGCAATATTTATTTCTTTTTGGGTCGGGGTCCGGCCATGTCATGCAGGTGCTCCAGTCCCACCGCCGGCCGGCCTCCGTGCTCCGGCCACCGACGCGTCCCCGGCGGCGTCCTCGCCCCTGCCTCCAACTCCAAGGCGCGCCGACCGTCCACTGCTCCTCCCCGTCCACCGAGCTCCGGCCATCAGGTTAATTAGTATGTGCTACCTCGCTCGTGCTCTCCCAATCTAATGAATCCTGTAACATCTGGTGATTGACGCCACGGATGAAGAGAACCGAGTGGTTGCGGCTGATTTTGGTGGATTAAGCACCGATTTCAGGGGCTGGAAGGAAGAAGATTCAGAGGAGGGAGGCGAGCTGGGCCATAAGGGCAAGTTCCCGCACACCACATGTTCGATGAAATGCCCACCAAGGAACCGACCCGACCCATGCTGCCACCCATCAATCAATGTTCTAAAAGGTTATCCCAGAAGGTATGTCATTTTTGTGTAGTCTCAGAAGTTCCTTATATATAGGACTTGTGTTCTTATCTGCTTAGGTTAGCTGTTATCTTAACATGGACAAGACAGAAATGGAGTGCTATTGTTGCTCCATGCTCCTGGACCTAGTTAAATCTTAAATGGAGCCGATGATCCTGTAGCATCTAATCATTCATTTCATCTCTCTGGCAGCGGCCTATTAGTCCACTGCTCTAATCTGTATACCCCACATGCTTTCCCTACAGGTATGAAGGATAATGTGGCAGTCTGTACAACCATATAATCTCGACCAAATTGCTTTCCCATGAGGGAATTAAAGGTGCTCACCACACTGTATGTTGCCTTAGTTTCCTACCAAGTTCATGATAGATTCAGATTCTTGCTCCTAGACTTCTGTTCAAGTATCTTTCATTTAACAGCTGTCAGCTAGCTGCATATGAAGAGCCGAGAGGGATGATGAAGACTGTCAGGATTGAAGGCATGGATGTATGCAGCATCCTGTTGTTTACTACTCCCTTCGTGAGTATACAGATAGCTGCAATGAAGGCTGCATATGAAGAGCTAAACTAGTGATCTAAACACTCTTATATTTCTTTACAGAGTAGATTGTTTTCAAGATATATGGACGTGAGCAATGTAAGACGAGATGATGACATCGATGAGGAGGAACCACTTCTATTTGAATTTCATAGTTGAGTCTGATCCAGCAAACTCTCCAATTTATCAGTCTTAGATTTCTTCTAAGACATTTCTTTGGCACTTTTGCAAAACTTTAGTAGTTTTGTGTCATGCACATGTTAATTTAGAGACAAGACAATTCTCTGTATGACGTTCTCATTTTTATGTTGAAAAATGCAGAGCTTGATGCTTTGGAAGCTGATATGGATGTCGAATCAAACTCAGTCCCATCGTACCTCCAACCAGACAAGGAGACTGATCTTTATTCTCAGCTTAACTAACCTGCTGCACCAAGTGGTCATGCAGCAGTCCCGGTCCCGGCAAACCGGCAGCAGGTATGTCAATTGCAAGACTGACTAGTTTCTATTCACATTGATTATGGTGCTGATATCCCAAGGAAGAAATCGATGACTCGCGTCATTTTCCCATGTAATCAGAGTTCAGAGTGCTTGAAGCTATAAGCAGGTGTCTTTTATCTTGTCACATGATCTAATTTACAGGTATTTCTTACCTCATAAATCATGAAGTTCAGGCTTAATTTCATGGTACATACCTGTATTGTTGGTGTGAACAATTGAGCTTATCCTATCTTGATCTTACTACCAAAAGAAACACACAGAAGGGGGATTTGACCTTGAACTTCGAAATCTCTATTGAACATCTTAAACGGCACATACTTTAATTTGCTTGATTCCCCCTGATTGCTACACTTGTCAGCCAGTAGACTAATTTGCTGTGCTTACTTTTGTTTGTTCACGCAAGAGGATGCACTGGGACTGTCTACAGTGCCACACGCATCAATTCGTACCTGAAAAGTAACCAAAAAAAACTATGCTATAGGTTTGATCTCGTTGTAAATAGTCGACACTTTGTTTATGCACGTACAAATTCATTGTATCTTTCCTCAGATACCACTGCAATTCGTTGAATGATGAAATGTTTCTTCCCCATTGTGTTAGAACAATAGTGAGTGATAAAGGGAGTGTTCTCTATATGGTTGTACATCCTGTTGTTAGTATGTCTATGTTGAGTTGAATTGGTATCTGATTTTTTGACAATGAAATTATGGGACATTGCTGGCTCTTGTGCTGTCAGTCACGGCTTTTTCCTATCATCTCATCCTTTGTTAAGTTTGTATTAGGCATCGAGAAAAAGAAGGGTGTATCTTTGTTCCATGAATATCTCGTTACCAGTGCTTGTAATTAAGTGTAGTAGTACATTATCTATTGCTCCATCCTAAGAACAAGGACCACATATGCTCCATCATGGGGACAAGGACTACGTATGCGTGCCCTACAACTTTGTTAAGTTTGTATTAGGCATCGAGAAAAAGAAGGGTGTATCTTTGTTCCATGAATATCTCGTTACCAGTGCTTGTAATTAAGTGTAGTAGTACATTATCTATTGCTCCATCCTAAGAACAAGGACCACATATGCTCCATCATGGGGACAAGGACTACGCATGCGTGCCCTACAACCCTCCGTAAGCCCTTTTACTTAGTACTGTTGCACTTTTCTTGTTTTATGCACCTATATCCGTGTGTTCACATTCATTTGGTCCGTTCGAACACTTGATCATTGTGATCGTTCCTGCTTGGTCCAAGGTATTTTACTCTGATACCCAGAGAACAATAAAGCGGGATGGCATGATAGCGTGCCAGTTTTGGATTCCATTTTTCACCTTCAGGTTCATGGGAGCAATAATAATAGTTAAAAAGAGACAAATATTAGTACAATGCTCCGTCATAAGGAAAATGACTACATTCTCCTACCCTACAACCCTCTGTAAGTCCTTTTACTTGGTATATTGTGGCACTTCGAAGTGGGAGCAATAATAAGAATTCTCATTTTTTATGCACCTATCTCCAACATGTTTACATTCATTTCTTCCCGTTTATGCATCTTGGTTCCCATATGGAACAAATAAAGCAAGACTACATGGTACTGCACTAGTTTTGGATTCCATTTTTTTTCAATCTTTAGGTTCATGGGAGCAACAGTAGATAGAAAGAGACAAATATTAGGACACATTTTTTGTCAATCTTTAGGTTCATGTGGATACTATGTCTACAGTACAGTCTTTGACAAATATAAGCAACACACAAACCAAATTATATTTATGCATTGTTAGAAATCAGCAAGCAAACAAACAGAGAAATATCAAGAACACGGGATGGACACACATTTTTACGTGGAAAACCGTTGTGGGAAAAACCACGAGCACACAACGGTGATCTTTTGCTGCATCAGAAGAGTCTACAAATACATAGACTTACAATGAGTAGTCAACTCATCCTGTGTGGCATGTGGTGTATAAGTGACTTGAGTAAAAAAATCGGAAATCTGAACCAGCCTCTGCTTTGGCAGACCCTGGTCTCTAACTAGGATTCAGACCTTATGTCAACATGCATCCCTTGCTGTAATATAAGTGCGCTGAAAGGCACGGAACAAGAACTAGAAGATGGTTGCTGGATGAGTGTTTGGTATGCCTCCCGCATGGTTGGCCTTGCTTGGGGTGAAGATTCCAAACAAGATAAGGCCAGCTTGATGTGCACAGCTAAGCTAATCTCTTCAGTTGATGTTGGTGTTGTTGGCCGTTGGTCCAGAATATCTTTCACCATTATTGAGTGTTCGCTGTTAGAAAGATTACCATCTAATAGATCCCTTGGGTGCTTGCCCATCAGTAGCTCTAACACAACCACCCCAAAGCTATAGACATCACATTTCTCTGTCGCAACAGATGTGTACGACAGTTCTGCACAAAAGTGTCGAGAATATTAGAATCAGGAACAAATGGATAGAGATGAATGCTTCTGACGTGAGAAGGAAGGTTATGCTAGTACATACCAGGAGCTATATAGCCGTACGTTCCTGCTAGTGCACTCCAGTTTGATGAATCGGGCTTAAGAATCCTTGCCGTGCCGAAATCCGAGACAAAAGCCTTGAAGGATGTATCAAGTAAGATGTTGTTGCTTGTGATATCTCGATGGATTATAGGTGGACTGCATTCGTGGTGCAAATAAGATATTGCTTGAGCCACATCAGTTGCAAGAGCAATTCTCTTCTTCCAATCTAATTCCTTTGCTAGCCCCTGATTTTCCAATATTCCGTGGAGGCTTCCCTGCTGAATGTAGTCGTAGACGAGAAATTTATATGTTGGATGGGAGCAAAATCCATACATTTTGACGATGCTTCGTTGTCGGATCTGTGTTAAGATTTCCATTTCACTACGAAATCTTCTTTCATCATCCAACTCTTCTTCGGTCCGATGAAGCTTCTTCACAGCAACCACCTGCCCGTCTTGGAGTTGTGCCTTGTAGACTTTGCCGTACCCCCCTGTTCCAATGATGTACTTATCATCAAAGTCTTCTGTTGCCCTTATAATATCATCAAATGCTAATCTTCCATCGAAATTCCAAACAGAGAATAGGTCCCTTGCTTCAGCGGTAACACTTTCTTGTGGATTTCTCTTCTTACGAGTAAGTATTATTATGACAACAATTGCAGCAACAATGCCGAAACCCATCACAAGAACAATTGGCAAAAGCAAACCAAGTATCTTTCCCCTTTTATGAGCAGTTGCTGGGGTTGAATAACATGGTGGCAGGCCAGAGAGGTTACCACACAGACCTTTATTGGGAAGAAACCAACTTGCTGAAGCATTTTGGAGTAGCGGGGCTGTTGGGACTGGTCCTTCCAAGTTGTTGTAGGACACATCAAGTGTTGAAAGGCTAACCATGCTTGCAAAGGCGGATGGAATGCTGCCACTGAACTGATTATTTGATAAATTCAGAAATTCTAGCATCTCCAACTTCCCAAGTTGCTGTGGCAACACACCGCTGAGGTTATTGTTGCTCACATCTAACATGATCTGCAGAGCTGCTAAATTTCCAATTGCACCAGGCAAACTCCCACTGAAGTTGTTGTTGCAGATCTTCAAAGACTGTAGTTTCATGCAGGCCCCTAATGCCTCAGGTATTGATCCACTCAGTCTGTTCCCAGATATGTCAAGGTATCCTAGATTGCTCAGCTTTTTTATTTGTGTAGGTATGGATCCAGATAATTGGTTCGATGATAAGTTCAGTTTATATAGATTAGTTAAAGTGCAGATTTCTGGTGGAATCTCACCGCTGAGATTATTAGAACCGAGTGTTAGTTCTACTAGGTTGGACAATTTAGATAGTATTGGAGGTATGGAACCCGTGATATTATTTTGTGCTAGATGTAGTACCGTTAGCTGGGTACTTGCAGCTAGATTTGGTGAGATGTGCCCAAAGAGTCTATTCGATGCCAAGATCATTTTTATGAGTTGTGGATACACACCAAAATGCTGAGATATATCACCTGTTATTTGGTTTCTCTGAAGGTCAATTCGAACCAAACTCGTACATGTCCTTAAACTGCTTGGAATGGGGCCATTGAACATATTAGATGAGACAATGAGATGTTGGAGTCTACCACTTGAACATATATTTGTGGGTAAATGTCCTGAAAGTGAGTTGTGTGACACCTCAAGGTCAACAAGGCTTATGAGACCTCCAAATTCTTGAGGAAGAGAACCCGATAATTTGTTACTAAATATTTCCACTGTTTGGATGCTTTGCAACTTCCCAAAAGTTTTTGGTATTGATCCCAAAATTTGGTTCATAGACAAGCCTAAATATTCGAGGTTCATCAGATTGCCAATCTCTTGGGGAATGGAACCGGTTATTTGGTTCTCGGACAAGTCTAATTCCTGGAGGTTCAGCAAGATGCCCAATTCTGAAGGTATTGAACCTGTGATTTGATTTGTATAGAGAAAAAGTTCATTGAGCACAGTGAGGTTCCCTAGTTCTACGGGTATTGAACCTGTTATTTGATTTTTATGGAGACCAAGTTGGTTTAACATATTGAGACTGCCTATTGCCTGTGGGATGGAACCTGTGATTTTATTTTCGAAGAGAAAAAGTTGGTTCATCTTAGTGAGATTGGTTATGGAGATTGGGATTGGACCTGAAAAATCATTTGACTGAAGCTGAAGACGCTGCAAATGGACTAGCCTGCTTAGTTCATGGGGTATAGGCCCTGAAAGCTGATTGCCAAACAGGTACAAAATATTTAGTTGGGTCAGATTTCCAAGTGTTTTTGGTATCATGCCGCTTAAGGCACTGTTGCTTAGCTGTAGACCTTGGAGGTTGACAAGCCTTCCAATCTCCTCAGGAATGGGCCCTGATACCATGTTTTGGTGAATGGCAAGACCAGTTAACATTGTTAGGTTACTCAGACACGCAGGGATAAGTCCTGTGAGTCTATTAAATGAGAGATCAATCTGCATGAGACTTCGCAGGCCACCAATCTCATAAGGAATTTCCCCTGTGAGCTGGTTGTAGGGAAGGTTAAGTATCAAAAGCGCTGAAAGGGAGATAATACTGGCGGGTAGTGCCCCATGGAGACTGTTGTTGCTGAGGTCAATATGTGTGAGGAATGGAAGAGCCGAGAAGTTGAGCTCACCAAGCTGTCCACGGATGCCAGCATCCGGCAGGGAGATGTTGGCCACCACCAAAGGCATGCGGCGGCCATGGCGAACAGCCGTGCACATGATGCCCGTCCAATTGCAGGGGCTGGTGTTTTGCTGCCACGAGCTCATCTGCAGTGGTGGTCTTGCAAGTGTATCTTTCCAGTGGAGGAGGGTCATGTGTTGAGACCTGAGTGAGATCCCTCCATGGGGCACCGCTTGTGCTTCTTGCAAGAGAAGAAGGCATGCCACCAGCAGTAGGTAGAGGTACAACAATGGTGTGGGGAAAGATGACATTTTGCTGCCTAGTGTTTCCATGTTGTGTTTGATTGGGGGATGTGATTCTGTGCACACTGCAACTATCGGTATTTAACTAGCGCGTTGCCAATTGTTATGAGGTTCTCATTCAGCCAACACTCAACAGTTGAGTGGAAGCTTGTGCTGGATGACTATTCTTCTCCCCCACATAAAGAAGGATGACTATTCTTCGGTGTAGCCATCTCTTTATTTCTTTCCTATCATGCCTGTGGAAAAAATGACACAGCAATTACTCCTAGAAAGCAATTGAAGGCAGGGACAGTATGCCTACTGGTCATATCTTTCCCAGTTAACATTGGGTTGAGTATTTATTTGATGATGGTATCTCCTGTGATTGGTTTTCTATTATTTCTTGTTCATTTGTTCATGTAACTTGTAACTGCTTCAGTTATGGAAATTCCATATAGTAATAGAAGCAGCTTATTTTAAGCTATCGTCAACCGTACTAATGTTCTCCTTGTCCTTTTTCAGATGCTACATATGAGATCAATTGTGGGAAAAATTCCGCTTTTGGATTTACATCGATGGTAAAAAAAATAAAGGTTTCTATGTTCAGATTTGGCTGATACAACTACTGGACCGGAAGTCTTGTTGGAAGTCATGTCTCTGAGGAAAAATGAGGGAGCTGTTCAAATACGGTAGTACATCATGCTCTCCTGTTTTCTGTCACCTGGTTCTTTTTTGTACCATATGATCTCATGCCATCCCCTGTTAAGTTTGTACAGTATTAGGCATGGCGTGAAGAAAATTAAGGTTGGTGTATACCAATAAATGCTTTAATAAAATTAAGTAAGCCACCAGGAGTACTAAGAAGAGTTCTCGCAAAAGAAAAAAGGTACTAAGAAGAGTTGATGGCCCTCAGTCAACACACGACAATTGAGTCTGTGGCCATCTCTGCCCCTTTTTCTTTCCCATCTCCTCTTCAGTGTCGCCATCTCTTCCTCTTTTTTCTTTCCTCATGACTATGGGAAAATGACACATTAATTATTCCTAGAAAGCAATTGAAGACAGGGATAGAAGTGTGCCCACGGCATACACCTAATCATATCTTTCCCAGTTATCCTCCGTCTACAACTTATGCACTGAGTTAAACATTTAGAATTTTTTTATTTGATGGTATATCCTGTGATTGGTTTGATAGTATTTCTTGTTAATTTCATCATGCAACATGTAACTGCAATTCCAAAAATAAATGGAAGCAGCTTGTCTCAAATCATTTTCTATAGTACTAATGTTTCCCTTGTTCGCTTTTTAACTGCTACAAAAGATTAATAACTCATTGTCGGTGCCGCGATGCAGCGATTAAATGTGAGGAAAATTCCCAAGTCTTGTTGGAAAAACAAAGGTTTCCGTGTTGAATTTTGGTCAATACAAATCCTGGACCCCAAGTCTTCCCGGAAGTCATGTGTCTGAGGAAAAATGAGGCAGTGGCTGCAGCTTGTGGAATTCAAAGCATGCACAACCAAGTAGCATCATGACGACAATGACTGAAGAAAAGTTCCAGGCTCAAGTGAGTTGACTCAGTAAATTTCTACTACTAGTGCTTTCTGTATGAGTTGATTAGTTGCCGTGTAACATCCAACACGCCAGTATTTCCAGGTATGCCCTTTGTACTTTACAAGTTCATCATGAATTTGAAAAATATTAATTGTGTATAGAAAAAAGTAGAACCTATACTATAAAAAGTCTGGCATGTATTTGATAGAAATAAAATGAAAACTGAACGGAAAAGCAAAAGAACCATACGACACCCGCAAAGGAAAACTTAGTACTCCCTCCGTCCCATAATATAGGAGCGTTCAACGCTCCTATATTATGGGACGGAGGGAGCAACGCTCCTATATTATGGGGCGGAGGGAGTACTAAGTTTTCCTTTGCGGGTGTCGTATGGTTCTTTTGCTTCAACGCTCCTATATTATGGGACGGAGGGAGTACTAAGTTTTCCTTTGCGGGTGTCGTATGGTTCTTTTGCTTTTCCCGTTCAGTTTTCATTTTATTTCTATCAAATACATGCCAGACTTTTTATAGTATAGGTTCTACTTTTTTCTATACACAATTAATATTTTTCAAATGCATGATGAACATTTTATAAAATACTTCTTTGAACATGTTAAACATTTTTCAAGTACATGTTTAATATTTTTTTAATACATGTGAAACATTTTTCTGATACACCCTGATAATGTTTTAAATACTTGATGAATGTTTTTTAAATACACATTGAAGTTTTTTTTTCAATATGTATTGGACATTTTTTCATATACATGCGAACATTTTTTTTGATACATGTTGAGCATGGAAAAACTTGTTTTCCAATTTTTCATTAACATAATTTTTTAAACGTGTGAACATTTTAAATGTCACAAACATTTTATTGAGTGGTGTGATTTTTTGAAATCTTATGCAAACAAATTGCACTGCATGAGCATTTTTTAAACTTGCGAACATTTTTTTAAACTGTGAGAACATAATTTTTTGACCTTCTACAAAACATTTTTATATTACATGTTGGATATTCTTTAAAACTACTGGGAAACCACGGCATTTTTGGAATATACGCACAAGTGAAAAAAAAAGCCTCACGCTGCCAAGTTGTGCCGCCTGGAAGCCGCGACGGTCGACCGAGAGCTCCGTTCCCCGGCGAGCGACTGCGGCGTCCGCTCGTCGGCAACGCCACCGACCACATCCCCCCACATTCTACATCGAGGTCGCCTACACCCTCGATCCCCAGTGCTCTGCTCACCGCCTCAGGTCAGTAGTTGCTCTCTCGTTCTACCAAATCCTACAAATTCCATTGATTGATGCCATGCCACGGATAGAGAAAAATGGCTTGCTTCTGATTTTGGTAGTTTGAGCACCGATTTCAGGGGCAGGACGAGGATTCGAAGGAGGGAGGTGAGTAGGGCCATAAAGATCAGCTCCCGCACACTACCTGTTCGATGAAATGCCCACCACAAGCCCGCATGATGTCTTCTTCTCCTCTCTTCCCGGCAGCTCGCTGGTCGACACTGCCGTCCATCAATGTTGACAAGTCACCATCTAAAAGTTTGTCCGAGAAGGTATAGCTAAATCCTGAATCTAGTCCAAGTACTTTCATACACCTTTAGATTCCTTTTTCCTTCTATACAATAATAGGTAAAACGTTGCGTTCTTATCCGCTTAGGTTACTGCTGATGCTGATTCGAACACTAGCAAGTCTTTCTATGGAGCTGATCATCCTGTAGCATTTAGTCATCTTTCTATGGCCGTAGCCTGTTAGTCGAGTGCCCTAATCTTTACACTCCATGTGTGCTTCCCCTAGAGGCTAGAGCTATGAAGGGCAGCGGGACTTGCTGTACAACCAAACTTGCGCACACCAAAGGGAATTAAATGTGCTCAACAGACTGTATGTTGCCTTCGTTTCCTATCTTGTTCATGATATATTCTGATTCTAGCTCCCAAACTTAGGTGGAAGTGCCTTTCATTCAACAGATGACTGCAATGAAGGCTGCCAATAAAGAGCCGAAAGGGATGATGAAGACTGCGAGGATTGAAGATATAGATGTATGCAGCATGCCGTTGTTTACCAGATTCTTCATGCTTTCAAGATTTCCAGCTTACATTATATATACTCTCATTTGATTGCTTATTTTCCTGTCTACTTTTGTTTCAGTTACATCTGAATCCATGCCTACTTTTCAAATCTGCAGAGCATGCAAGACGAGATGATGGATCTTGTTGATGTGAGCAATGAGATAAAAGAAACTCTTGGTAGAAGCTACAATATCCCAGATGACATCGATGAGGAGGAACTTATGAGGGGGTATGGCTCTTATTTGGTAGTCGGTTATTCTTAGACAATTCAAATGCCACATATGGTCACCTTAAAGATACTGAGGTGACTAGTTCCCTTACAGTGGTTGCCAGCTCAGAACCACTCCTCTATCGAAATTTCATAGTTGAATTTGAACCAGCAAACTCTCTA